GCCGCCGCCGCCGGAGCTGAAGCTCGGTCCTCCCCGCTGGTTTCGGGGAGTCGCTGCGCCGTGGCCGCGGCGGCGGGCTCCATTGCAGTGGGGCTTCGCGTTTCCCCCCCAGCTCCGGAGGCAGCGGGCGGAGAGGGAGGAGGTGAGGCGAAGGTGGGAGACGGCGGCGGCGCGCAGAGAGGGGAGAAGCCAATGGCGCTCGGCGCGGCCGTTCCAGGGGATTATGTGGCAATTCGGAGCATTCCGTCGGTGTCTCGGTGTTCCATCCCGCGCGCCCGCCTCGCCGCCACCGCCCCCCCCACACGCCCTCCCCACCCGGGTCGCAGGCTCCCCAGAGCCAGGCCCCGCCCGCTTCCCCCACCTCACCCCGGCGAACCAGCCGCGGAGCTGGGCTCATTGAATATTAATCACGCGCCGGGAGCGGGAAGGCGGGAGGCGGGCAGGGCGGGAGCTCCGCGCAGGCCTCATGAATATGCATCGCTAGAATGACGGCATTTCAGGGTGGAGTGGGGAGAGCAAGAGGACAACAGGGGCGGGGCTTCAGGGTAAACAAACGTGACGCGTGCGTACGGGGGCGGGGCGGGGGCCGTTCCCCGGGAGGTTCCCGAGCTGGCCTTGGAGTGGGGCGGGGGCAAGCGAGGGGCGCGCGGTGCACCTTGGGGTTTGTGGTTGTGATTCAGGGCCGGCGTGTCTGTGGGAAACACTGGGAACTACAAGTCCCAGCGGCCCTTAGGTTCCGCCCCTCGTCGCCAGCACCAGGGCATGGCCAGGGAGTATTGTGCCCTCTGCTGTTGAACTCTGTGCCTGGGAATGCTCTTACTCATTAACTTGTACCTTACCCACCCATTCCAGCTGGCTAGATAAGTTTTGTGTTCCCTGCTAATTGAAAGTGAAGGCTTTCAGGGACTGTAAACAGTACGAAGGTCCCAGATCGTTGGTCCTCACCTCCGTCCATTGCATGAGACACAAATACACACCCAAAACACCAGAGGATCGCTGGCCGTCAGAGTGAGCCAATCTCACTTTTTTTCACCTTTTTAACGAAGGAGAAGAGAGGCAGTGTCTGGAAATTGTAACTGAGGCAAT